GCGCCCAGCTTTTCCCTTCGCTTCTCTTAGACTGAAGCAAAGACGTCGGAATATAAAAGCCCAGGCTAGAGCGAGAGGAGTTTAAGGAACGAGAGAAGAGCGAGGCTGCTAGAGCCTCGGGAAGGCTCCGTTCCCAGAGCTCAGGAGGAGCGGAGGTTGAGTCTCCTCTGGCTCAGGGGTGTCCCTTGATTTGGAAGGAGGGAGGGTCGAAGCCGGGAAAGCCGGATTCGCTCGGATCGGGTTGGAAGCGGTCGGTCGGGAGCTCAAATCCTTGGAAGGGAAAAGGGATCTCGGGCGATCCCGAGAGGGAGGCACTATTCCGAGAGGGTTCTCCCCCACCCCCAACCCCAAATAATAATAATAATATAGAGAGGGAAACTCCTCCAAACTTTGGCCGTCTGTCCTCAAAGAAGGGGGGCACCGGAGGAGGGGTGGGAAACCTTCGTGGAGGGGTGGGAACTTCCAGGCGAAGACCTGGCGGCGGGATCAAGGGACGGTGGGAAGAGTAAATTCCGCCTTGTGGCTTCCCTCTTTTGGGGTCTCTTCTGGCCGGTCCTCTCCCTCGCCAGCCGCTCGGGCAAGCGGGCCAACCAAGGACACCAAGGCCGAGTTCCCGGGAAAGCAAAACGGCATTCACTCGGCGCGGCGAGAATGAAGCGCGCTGGCGGCGGGTGGAGCGCGGAAACCAACCCGTTCGGAGGGCTCCGAGCCTCGGGCGGCCGGACTCGGCTCGGCTCGGCTCCGCTTCCCTCCTCCGCGGCTGGAGAGATCCTGGTCGGGTTCTGGGAGATCCTCCGGACGCGATGGCGCGATCCCAAGAGAGAAAGCAGGGCAGCCTCCTCCGCCTCTTCCTTTGGCGCGGCCTCTGGCTTTGTGGGGACAAAATCTGCCCGGTCTTCGGACATGTAGAAGAATTTCTGTCCTCTTTTCCTTCTTTTTTTCTTTCCCTCCTTCCTCGAGGCAGGCAAGGCAGGCTGGGCGCTTCCTCCGCGGCGGGCTGGGCAGATCCTTTTTTTTTGGTTTTCCTTCTCTGGTTTGGCTCCTCGCCTTTTCTTTCTTTCTTTCTTTCTTTCTTTTTCTTTCTTTCTTTCTTTTTCTTTCCTGGGAATCGCGCCGCTCACCTTTCCGCCGTTTGCCTGGGCGGCCGGCGAGGCTCTTTTGCCTTCGTGGCGCGCTCTTTCCGCGGCTCTCCTTCCTCTGACAGATCCCAAACAACCACTCAGAGGTAATAAAACATTTTCAATCCCCCCCCCACCTCTTCCCTCCCTCCCTCCCTCCCTCCCTGTCTCCTTTGGCTATTGGGAGGGGGGAGACAGTGGCGGGGGGGAAGAGAGAGAACTTTGGGGAGGTGTCAATAAAACAGCAGAGGGTGGGACGGAGCTGGATCCCAGCCTCCTATTGGCCCGGCCTTTTCGGTGTGGCGGTGGTGGGGGGGGGGGGGGGGGGGGGGGGGAGGGGGAACAAAGGAAAACGACGCAGAAAGAAAGGGGAGCCGGCATCTCCCCCCCCCCCCCCACTTAAAGCCAAGGGGCGGGACCGGCCCAGACCCCTCATTTGCATACAGAGCGCGCCAAGAAACTGCAACAGACTTGGAGACTCGGAGAGGGAGGAGGGGGGGAGAGCACGGAAGGGCCCCGAAACTGAAGGCTTAGCCGGGAAAACCGAGATCGGAGTCGCTCCTAAAAGGTCATCTTTCCCACCCACCCACCCTTTATGTTTCTTTTTTTCCCCTCCTCTCTCCCCGCCCCTTTCCTGCCAATCAAATCTCAAAGTCGCCCGGCGGGTCAAAGGCTTTCAAGAAGAGATTGGACTTGCCATCTGTCAGAAATGGTGTAGGGTCTCTTGCTGGGGGTGGGGGGGTGGGGGGGGGAAGGGTGAGGGGGTTGGACTAGATGACCTACCAGGTCCCTTCCAGCTTTGTTAATCTAAAAGGGAGGGCTCCTCCCTTAGTCTGGGGTTCCAGTTCCCATCATCCCCAACCCACCCTCTCTCTCTCATCATCCCCAACCCACCCTCTCTCTCTCTGCAGTCCAAGAGGATAGATGAGCGGGGCTGGCGAAAGGCGCGACCCCCCCCCCGTCTCTGTCCTGATTCATCCCGAATCGGTTGAAGGCGCTGCCGTTGCTAAACTTAGAGGTGCTCGAGGCTTTTTCCACCCACCGCCCCCGCCCGCCCCGTGGCTACCCTGAGCGCCGGCCAGGCGGTGAAGCGGTTCCTCCCACCGCCACGCCTTCTGACCCGAGTTTCCAGGAGCCCCCCACTCCCTGCCCCGCTTCCCCCGCTCCTCCTCTCGGCCGTTTCGCCCCTGCTCCGCGGAAGCCGCTTGTTGCGTCAGCCTTTTCGGTCACGACAAGGAGGCTTTTGCATTTCGCTTTCAGCAAAAAGTCGTGGGTCAGAAGCGGAGGAGGGTGTCCTTGCTTGGGCGGGGTGGGGTTGGACTAGATGACCTCCAAAGTCCCTTCCAACTCTGATTATCTTGTTATCTGTTTGTTAGTCAGTCCCGGGCAGGCGTTTGATGGGCTGTTTGCAAGGCAGAGATTTTTTTATTCAGCTGTTGGTTTTATTACGCAAAACCTGCCCTCGCACCAACCGTATCTTCCCACCCTCCCCGGCGTCTCTCTCTCTCTCTCTCTCTCTCTCTCCCTCCCTCCCTCCCTCCCTCCCTCTCTCTTTCTTCTCCCTCTCCCCTTCTCCTCTCCCCTATTCCCGCCATCCTCTGATTTCCTTCGAAAGGACAGGATTGGGGGAGACTCGGAACCGCCAGCCACGACGAAGGTTGCTTTTCAAATCGAAACGCCAAGCGGCCCGAGAGAGGGGCGGGGACGCAGGGGGTTGGACTAGATGACCTACAAGGTCCCTTCCAAAATCCCAACTCTGTTATCTAAACCAGGGGTCTCCAACCTTGGCAACTTTAAGACTTTTGGACTTCAACTTCCAAAATTCTCCAGCCAGCTGTGCTGAGTGGCCGAACGAGCGGCGGCTTGAGGACATCAGCGGTCTACAAATGCAAGCAAAGGCTTTTGAGGCGCCTTTGTGCGGGTTGCAAGCGCTGAAGCTGGAAGAAGAACCGGACGCCGGTCGCGTCCCCCCCCCATCTCCTCCCCCCCCCGCCCCCGCTCTGAACAATTCGTTGCTGGATTTGAAAGAGCTTTAAAAAAAACCTTGCATCGCTGTTAGGGAAAGCAACGCGCCTCTATCCAAAAGGAAAAAAAAGGCGTTAGACAATAGAGCCTAAGCTAGCGAGCGTTTGGACCTTTCGCTTTTCAGGCCCAGCTCTTTCAGCTTCTTCACTGCCAGGGCAATGTTAATTGCGCTTGCTTTTAATGACATCCTTTCGAGACACCTAGATGCACTGAAATCTGCTTTTAAAACGATACAATGTATCGTAATTTACAATATTGCAGTAAAGGGGGTGGGTGGGAAAGAAATCGAACGGCGTTGGGGGGGGGATGCCCTTTCAGAGCATCGCCTTTTCTGTTATAGACTTTGGGAGGGAGGGGGAAAGGAAGATCGTTTTATCGGACCCTTTGTTCCCGCTAGAAGCTCGATCAAATAAATAAACCTGACTTTTGATTCACCAAAGATGATGCTTCTCCCTCTCTTTCTCTTCTTCCTTCCTTTCTTTCTCTTTCTGTTTCTTTCTCTTTCTTTCTTTCTTTCTTTCTCTCTTTCTTTCTTACTTTCTTTCTCTCTCTCTCTTTCTCTTCTTCCTTCCTTTCTCTTTCTTTCTTTCTTTCTTTCTTTCTTTCTTTCTTTCTTTCTATCTCTTTCTTTCTTTCTTTCTTTCTTTCTTTCTTTCTTTCTTTCTTTCT